GCGGCGGGCGGGCGGCTGCCCGGGGCTACGCGGAGCTCTCGGCGGCCCTGCTCTCCGTGTCGCTGTCGCTGGGGTAGCTGCGGGACGAGCGCTTGGAGCGCGGCGCGCTCTCCACGCTCTCCTGCTCCTCGTCCCAGCGGTCGCCGGCGAAGGCCCTGCGGGAGACACGGGGCGTCAGCGAGCGCTGCCGCCGCTCTGCCCGCTGCGGAGGCCAGAGCCGGGGCTGCCCCTGGCACCGCGGGCACCCCGGGGCGGCACGCGGGTGTCCCCAGCCGTGCTGCGGTCCCTGTCCCCGCGGGAAGCGGGGCGCACGTGCCCCGCGCCGCAGCGAGCTGCCGCACTGGCGCCTGCTGCACGCGGCCTCCTTGGCCTCTTTCATCATTTTTTGGAGATATTTTTGGAACGCTTTGGCGTGATTTACCGCTCCCCGTGCTGAGCGCAGCCCGTCAGCCGCAAGGAGGCTGCGCGGGGGCTGCTGCAACGCTGCGGCGCCTCCCCGCACGGCAGCCGGGTACCAGGGGGGATGCCAACACATCCGGGCCTGGAAACGCCCCGGGAACGGCTCCCAGGTGCCAGCAGGAGACTCCAAGCCCCGGCGAGCAGCAGCGCTCAGCCGGAGGCAGCAGAGCGAGCGGGGGCAGCTCTCCTGCCCCAAAGCCCTGGCGGGTGCTTCGCGCTCGCTCCAGGACTGAGCTTGCACAGCTACAAGCTCCTTTCCCAGCCCTTCTCCGATTTTGAGATGGCGGGAAGGGCTTCATACACTAACACGCTGCTCCCGGGATCGGCAGCAATGCCACCTCGGAGCATCCCAGCGCAACACACGCCACGTCCTGGTGCAACGTGCGCCACGTCCCAGCGCGCCGGCCGGGCGCCACGCAGCTCTTCCCAGCCACGCGGAGCTCGGTTGGTGCCGGGCATCTCCCCCCGGCGCGGGGGTCCCGCACGGAGCACGAGCTCCCCCGTTACACACTGCAAAGGATGCGGTTAGTAGCCGGACACACGTGCAGGGCCGCCCAGCCCTTCGTTGCACGGGGCGCCGAGGAGCAGCTGGGAGGGGACGGCGCCGCTCCGTGTCCTCCGCTCCGGCACCCGCTGGGGTTGGCGCGAGCGGGGAAGAGCCGCACGTCGCCGCCGTGTCCCTCGAGCGCCACCCGCAGCTCGGGCACCGTCTGTCCATCCGTCCGTGCGTCCGCGGGCAGGGCACAGGGGGTTAGGGACGAGCGGTTAGTGGCACGCGGGGCTCATGCTGCACGGCACACACTGCTCCCACCTCCTGCTCAGTCGCTCTCGGGCCGGTACAGGTACTTCATCATGAGGCTGTCCACCTGCTTCTTGCGCTGCTTCTCCTCCTTCTTCTCCTTGCCGGAGCGCCCCGCTCCCGTGCTCGCCTCCGGGCCGGCCTTCCGGGGACCCTTCTTGATGCTGGAGCTGCTCCGGTAGGAGACGGTGGAGCCAGAGGACGACTCCGAGGATGACTCCGAGGAGGACTCGGAGGAGGACTCCGATTCCGACGGCTTCTTCTTCTTCTTCTTGCCTTTCTTCTTGGCCTTCTTGGCGTGCTTCTTGGAGCTCTTCCTCTTGCGCTCCTCTTCCTCGGAGGACTCTCCGGAGCTGCTGCCGCGGTGGCCCTTGGCGCGGGGCGGCCGCGAGAAGTCGAGCGCGGAGGCCGAGCGGCGGAGGCTGCTGGCGGGGCGCTCGGCGCGGGGCAGCACGGCGCTGCGGGCGCTGCGCACGCTCCTGCTGTCCTCGCCATCGTCATCTTCGTCCTCGTCGGAGGCCGGGCGGGAGCGCGCGGCGCCCAGCGGCCGGTAGCTGAGCACCTCCTCGATGGCGGCCTCCAGGTCGGGGTCGAGGTAGGA